ATCCTCTGTGCTCAAGCCCCAGGAAGGAAGTAGGGTGAAGCTGTAACGGGGCAGCTGATCTCTGCTGGCAGCTGCTTCGAGAGTTCTAGGTGGAAAAAGCGTCAGCCTCCTCTCTAGGCCCCTCCCAACACCCAGCCTGATCTCCCTGGGCTTTCCATCCCTTCTCCAAGGGGGCTCCCCCAGGCGGCCGGCAGGAGCCAGCCCCCACCAACGCTCACAGCTGAGAAACCTTTCAATGGCGTTTTTGTTTTGTTTTTCTCTCTCTCTTGTGACCAGGCGACCGGCTCCCTCTGCTCCCTCCCGGCCTTTCTTCAGATGAGCCACCTCTTCCGAGACCCATCGCTGCCCCCCCAGTCATTTAACCCATTTGAACCTGCTCCTGGGGATTTTGCTTTGTTTCTATCTAGACAACAGCCCGCTCCAGCCAGAGGAGAGAACCTAGCTCCATCTCTGTCCCCCTAAAGCACCAAGAGGGGCTGCGGCCTGGCTGTTGTGCTGGGAACAAAGCATGCTGAATGCTACAGTCTGTGCAAGAGGTGTAACGCCCCTGTCAGCCCACCCAGCAGAATACCCCCTCCCCCTGGAAATCAGACTCAGGGAGCGGATCCTCCCCTGGAAAAACCATGATCTCGTGGCGTTGGACTGGGCTTGCTCAGGATGAACCCTGGCTGCCATTTTCTTCTTTCCTCAGTTATGGTGAACGCTTTGTGATCGAACTGAAAACAAACACGGCTGGGCCCCCCGAGCTTGGAAGTGGCCCCAGCTAACGGCGACTTGCTGTGGTTTCTAAACGGCAGAGTTTCCTTACCGCCCTCACCCTACCAACTTCAGGGCCCAACGTTGCATTGATGAAAAGGGAGTTTTGTCCCATTATTTCTTCACCTCCTGCGGGACCTTGGCTGCCTCCTAGCCCCACCCTCACTACTCCAGCTGGGCAGTGATCTATAGAAACAGGCCGCTGAGGATTTACCCCCTTCCATCCCCTGTCTCGAGTGAACCTGCCCAGCCAGCCCCTCCCTCCATGCCGGGTTAGACAGGGCAGAAGCACCAGCCCCAAGCAGTTGTTTACCAGCTGAACTTTGTAAGTGCATTTAGTAGTGGAGCGGGGTCCTTATTGAACACTGTGGTTCTTGCTTTTATTTATAAGCCATAGTTCCCACCCCCGTTCCCTGAAAGCAACATTAGCGGGGAGGGTATTTTTCAGCCCATTCTTTCTTACGTGCCTGCTAATGCTGGGAAGTTGGTGAAGAGGCTCAGTTCTCCCAGTTCCGCATGGTCACTGAAACACCATTTCCCCCATCCCGGTGAGCAGAAACTGGGCAGGAATCAACAGAGAGACTCCCGAAACAGCGGGAAGGGGGATTCCTAGTCACACACTCGCATGCGTCTCCCTGCAGCTTACGGCTAGCACCGGAGCAGGGAGAAAGGCCGGGTTCTGTCCTCCACTCTCGAGCTCAGCGGCATTCGCCCATTTCAGTCCTTTCCACTGCGTTTAGGTAAATGGGCTTTGGACCCTTCCTGTCACTCCCCCCCCTGAACCTTTCAGGCAGGTGGATATTAGAGACCTCAGCACTGGCCCCGTGGGACTCCGGGCCAGCAAGGGTGTTGGCTAAACACAGCCAGGGAGCTAGCCTTGTAGACCTTCGGTCTGCAGATGCCAAAGTGTAGAACATGCCCCCACGGGGAGGCCTGATGGATGAGCTGCAGGAGGGGGCTCGGCCCGGCCTGTCATTTCTTCTCCAAGCTGCGCTGCCCTTTAAAAACCAGCCCCCGCTGTTCTGGTGACAAAGCAAAGCTTCAAGGCGGGAGCTGAGAGTATCTGCTGTGCCAAAGACATTTCCTGAGGGGGCAGAGTCTGAACCAAGAGCTCAGCGGTTCAGCGGAGACAGACCCCAAAGCCAGTGATGTCAGTGGTCCCTGCCCAAAGCTTTGTAACAAAGGAGAGGACGTATCTTCTTAGGAAGAGCTATTCTGAGCCCAAAACTGGGATAGGACCTACAACGGATATGGCAGCAGAGCACCCAATTGCTTTCATTGTCCTGGAGCAGGGGACTCAGCGGTCACAAGCAGGAGCAAATGCTGCCCTAATTCAGCTGTTTAACAGACGGCCTCACAGGCAGGCAGCGCTTCAGAAGTATTCTGGTAGCACCGCGCTGGGCACCGAGGCCAGAACCTAGCATGGGTAAAAGGCAGTGGACAGATGGGTGCAATAAGATGGTTATGAAGTTATCCTTGCTCCCTCCTTTGAGCAGAAGACGCCACAGACCTTCAGTGAACATCAGAGCAAATACAGATTTAACCGGAGCAAGGGGCCAGCCCCACACCTGCCCTTCACTCAATTCTGTTGTCATACTGGGCCAGCGGTGTGAACTGACCCCACAACCTCCGGTGAGTTCCAGGATGCACCTCTGTTAGCTCAAGGGCTGTAGCAGACTCAAACTACCTAATGCAGCCACTAATTCCGGTATCACCCTGCACCCCGTACGGGGTCACCGATCAACAGCAGAGCTCGTGAACTGCTCTGCTTCGCTCTACCCTGCTGTCGGTACCTGCATGGAGCCAGCAGTGTCCCCTCCAGCCTAGTGGCTTGCCGACCAGTTGCCCCGTGGTGCCCTCTGTACAAGGTGTGTGTGTGTGTAAAGAGGACAGCATGACCCACCTCTGTATAATTCTTCCCCCTCCCACAATAAAAAATCCTGGATCTCAGGGCCAGTGTTTCATGAATGTCATTAGCAAAGGCTGGGCTAGGTGCATGGCCCTGTACAGTGCTCAGGGTGCTAGCAGTGATCGACAGTGGAACAGCATAGTCTCATTCCTCCACGCTGCCCCCTGGGGAAAGCAGGCTGGCCCCCTGCCTTGCCCTCATTCACCCTGGAGCTGGGGCTGGGGGGAGCAGCTCCCAGCTGCGATTCTGCTCAGAAAAGTGACTAAAAAGACCATCAGGGCATTGCAGAGCCTGGCCGATTGGCCGAGAACAGTGATGTCTAAGCCCCCATCGCTGTTCTGTCTGTCACACGCTCACAGCGAGTACCACAGCCGCTCAACTGCAGCATTTCCGGGGCACGTTCTAGACTGCGCTGGTCAGAACCCTCGGGCCTGTGGTGAAAACTGGAGAAGGAAATCGGGGGGGGCACAAGGGACATGGAGCCCTGGGCATCTTCTGAGTAGAACTAGCAGCTTCAACCACCTCTTCGCCTGCCCAACCTTCCAGCCCGCTAATCCCTCCCCTTTGAGCTTGGTTCGTATTCCCAGTGGTTTGAAGATGCTGACATCCTGACAGGAGGGATGAATGGTGGGGTGGAAGGGGGGGCACAGAATTCCTGGCACAGGGGAGAATGGGTGTCTGGTGTGCCAGCTCTTGAGTCCTGAGCCAGCAGCGTCCCCTGCCCCTTCTCACTGGGCAGGTAGGCAACCTTACCACCATCGACAGGCCATGCTGCAGCCCTTTCACCAACCCTCGTGCAGGCAGGGAGCGAACCCTCCTTGGCACAGGAGTAAATTGCACAGATGCAACTGCAGTTGGTCTCAGCTGCATCCCGCAGCTGGACAAGGCCTCATCCATTCATGGTTTTACTCCCAGCTGCTGCTGATCGCAGAGTGAGCTGGAGTCTGAGCACTGGCAGGAGCCTTTCAAGGACAGCTGCTCTTCCTACATTGCAAAGCCCCCCTTCAGGGACCCTGCCACCGCAGCTGCCCCTCCTAACACCGCCCCAGGAAGGGCTGGGCTCAGGCAGTTGAGTTTTACTGCTCGGCTCTCACCCTTTCTAGGACAGCTTTGGATTCCCCTCGAGTCAGACCCACCCGAGTGATGCAGTTGCAGAGCGACCGAGCAACCACAGTTAAGAGGGACGTTTGCTCGGTGTCTATGAAAACCAGCCCCTTGTGCCAGGGAATTAATCAAAAGAAACCGGATCCTTATGGCACCTTTGCTACAGGCGATTTGCTTTTGACTCTAGTAGGCAGGGGCAGCAGAGCGTACCGTGCCCTTGCCCCGGCTGCAGAGGGTGGGAAGTTAGAAGCCAAGGTGACCTGCTGCAGCCGATACACGCCCATCCCCTTTCACTCACCGTTACCAGCTCTTTATTGCTGCAGAATTCCCTCACATGTGCATTCGCCATCAGGTATCACCTAGCGCCTGCTTTCATACCATGCATGGCCAAGGATCCATGGCAGGCCCAATCAGAGGCTGTTTCCCTTCCTTCTGGAGCAGGACATTCTACCCCATAATGAGTCATTCCCTTCCGCCAAACCCCAGAGAAAGCATCCAAACACTGGCTTGGGACAGCAGAAAGTGAGCTGGTTGGCAGGGCTAGGGGGATGCAGGCTGCTACAGGGAGCGGGAGCAGCGAGTAGCAAAAGGGGCTCTCACCAATTTACCAGTTGTGTCAAACAAAGCAAAGAGTCATACTTAATAAAGCTCTCCAAGAAAAGTCAATGTCCCAGAAAGAGGAGTGCCTTAGCTCTACTGGGAGACGTCAGTGTCTGCCGGGTTATCACAGCAGACTCGTGGCCTGCTATTAGGAATGGAACAGGAGAGCTGCTGTCTTAGCACCTCGAGAACAAGCCGCTCTGGACAGTCGAAAGGTTCTGCGGAGGAGAGTCAGGTCACTGTTACATAATAAGCAGGAATTCAGATTCTTTCCGTCTCCTGGACAGTGCACAGAGTTACAAACCAGCTTGTCCAGTGTCAGTCTGGCCGCTCTGACCTTGGGGAATGCAGGGCTCTCTAAGAGGCCCTGAATTCTCAGTCCTGCCAGAACACATGGTGCTGTATCATTCAGCTGCCACTGAGTTGCGCACTTCCATGCCCAGTAACAATTTAGCCATTGAAGGCAGTTTTCCTTTGGAAAGATGGATCATGTTCTCTGCATGGTTATACGTGCAGTTTAGGCTACAGATAACGGGAGTTTGGTTGTCTCAGATGTCAGAACGCACTCTACAATCAGCAGCAGTGGGGGGGAAAGGAGCGCAGGCCCAATACGGATTCACAACGACACATCTTAAACAACTTCATTTAATGTCCTTTCTTTCGTAACGTCAAGAATAAATACTAGATTCCTTTGTAAAAGGCTCCGCAATATGTATTTGCTAGAGAGAATGGCTCCATAGCCCTTTGGTCATTTTAAAAAACCCATCACAATCAGCGCCCCACATGCATACACGTCATGTGTTACTGACGAGACCAGGCTGCAGCTTCCACTACGAAGCAAACAATCCCTGCGCAAGCGTCGGCTCAGAACTTCACTGGGTTGTCACAATACCTGCAGGGGGAAGTTGAAGGAAAAGGGTCCCCAGTGTCAAGTCTGATCAGTCTCAGTTTCGCTGCTCAAAGCTGGAGTCAGCCCCGGCCAAAGCGCAGAGAAGGGGCACAAAGGACATGAAACAGAAGTTGACAGCCCTTGGCAGGTTCCAGGCTGCTATTCATACACCTCTCTCCAGAGTCTTGGTGAGATCAGCCACTTGTGCTGTATGCAGAAAGTTAAAAAAATTCCAAGCCAGGTCCGTGTCTGCAGGAGATTCTGGAATCACCCACCACGCAGGCCCCCTAGACATAATGGTGGGCAGATCGGATCAGAGCACCCGCCTGTGACAGGGCAAAGCAGGCACCATCATGGAGTCTCTCCAGGCACCTTGGCTGTCACACAACAGGTGGTGATGGGGAGATCAGGACTATTTTCCCAGCGGGGGTGGTGTGAGGAGGGCACTTTGGCACATGCTATGGTAACAAAGCAACACCAGTGGCCTCATCAGGCAGTAGCAGCCCCTCCTTAGAGTCAATCTTGAGGAGAGGGGGTTGGATCAGCCGCCCCCAGGAACCCAGCTGTCCTCGGCAGATCCCACTAACACTTCCTTTCCCTTTCTCCAAACATGTCTCAGTGCTGGCCTGGAGAGGCCTGCTCTCCCCGGCCCTCTCACCCTTAGCCCCTCTGCTACGGCAGAGAATGGGGCTATTGACAGTGATGGCTGGTGGTGCAGATCGTTGCCCACAGACCAGCAAATACATTGAATCCTTAATGACTGCATCTCTGGCTCTCAGCGCTCCAGATTCCATCAGCCCAGAACTACCCCGTGATATGGAATCTTGCCAACCCGCCCATGCCCTCAGGAGTCACTGTCTACAGCTTGTCCTGTTGACTGGAAGCAATTCCTCACACCCCTGCTGCTGCCTCAGGGCACCCCCCACAAAAAAAAAAGTCTGATCTGAGCCCAGCACTGAAGAGAGACCAGCTCAGCCCAGGAAAGGAGTAGCAGGGCATTGGCAGAACTCAGCTCTAAAGCAATGGCAACTCCTGCTCAACTCAAATCCTGAGGACCCAGCCAATCTCTCCCTCCTACCCGCAGCAGGAGACGCACACCTTCCCCACTGCCAAGGTGCCCACAGTCACTGCCCCACTCAGATCCATTGTCCTGTGCCACTCAAGGGACTAGTGAAGCTAAGATCTCAAAGCAGACAGGCAAACAGGACAGTGAGAAAAGGCACTAGAGGCAGGGAAATCACAGAAGGGGTACAATCCACTGAGAAGCAGAACTGGGTTTTTCTTCAAGGATCTGAAGGAAACTGGCCTGTGATCTGATCCATGAGACCTGAAGTAAGAGGTGCTCATCGGAACAGGGCAGCAAAAGAAGTGAAATGTCATCCACATACAGCCAAGAACAGTGGCTTCCATTGCTATCTGGAGCAAAAGGGATGCCATGGAAACAGGGGCAAATTATACACACAGCGCTAAGCAAACCAAGCCACACGGCTGGACCCAAAGCCAAGGCTCTCCCGCAGCAGCCGCACTGCAGCAGTAAATAGCGAAGAGGTTGCTTTTCCTCCAGGGGTCAGTATGGAGGCCAACTGGAGCCAATTCACTGCTGCACAGGGGGCCAGAGTGCGGGGAGACCCTGGAGACATGGGGGAACATTCCCCACCTTCTCTGCTAAAAGACAGTGGAAACAAGGCGCTAAAGGGGCAACAGGACACAGCAAGGCCGGGGCTGAGGTCCATACAGGCCAAGAGCTGCTGTTAAGGCACATAGGAGGTTTCTCCTTTGACAAAAATGCAGACCAGAGGAGAGATTCTGGACAAGGAACAAGTTCGGTTGCAGGCCAGGGGATCCTGCCCACCTGTAATTGGCGACGGTCAGAACCAGAGGCTGCAAGGCCAGACCCCGCTTTACTGAGTGGGTCTAGGTACCGAGACCACCTGCTGCTCCCCTCAGCTGCCATCCACCATGCCCTGCCTTGCTTTATTCCTTCATCCCACCCTCAGGGATGTGTATTATGGCACAGGCTGGTGGCTGTAGAACCCCCTTCCCCCAAGCCTAGGGATTCAAGTCCATAGAGAATCAATTTCAACCCATACTGCCCATCCCATCAGTCAGACCTCTACGATCCACCCCCCTCCCCCAATGCCCTCTGGCTTCAATGTACCTAATGTGAACTCTGGTACAAAGCAGGCCCATTTAATCCCTCTAAAGTATGCCCAGAAGAGAAGCTGCAGCAATTTGACAGAGCTATACACAGTTGATCTATCAGATGCTGGGGTGTCGGGCTTTGAATTCACCAACCTCAGCACCAGTCTGGCTCTGTACCTGCCCCTTGCAGGAGATATGGAGTCCATTTCTCTCCCTCTCACGCTACGTTCGGACCTGCCTCTTGTCTTCGAAGAGGCTCTTCAGCATGTAGACCTGGAGGAAGGCCACTACCACCAGCACCCCCAGGTTAATGGCTGACCAGAAGTTGACGCGGCTCATATTGCTTTCCTGCAGGTTGCGGTCTCTGGCTTCGAAGGCTCGCAGCAGTGTCTGCATCTGGATGCTCCGCTCCAAACGGTTCTTCATGGTCTCAATGGATTCCTGGAGGACAGAAAGGGGATTGGGGGGGGGGATATCAGCTACTGCGCACAGGTGCAGGAAGTGCTGATGATGCTGGAGTGCAGCTAACAAATACCTCCCCAAGAGTTCAGTTCGCTGGGGGCCAAAGCCTGTAAGAGTTTTGACTCCCTGACACTGGACACCCCACCGACTCAGATCACAGGGACAGATCAGCCATCTCCTGAGATTTCAAGGCCAGAAGGGATCATGAAGATACAGCCTGCCTGCTGGCACCACATGGGACACAGAACTTCACCCAGTGGTTCCGACAATCAAAGCCCTACTAGCAAAAGGCTCTGCACTGCATTGCCCAAGGCCTCATTGCCCCCCCCCCCCAATCACCCACCTTAATATCTTCTATCTTCATATCCAGCATCTCCTCTGGCTCCACCACCTCAGACCAGTTATCCCCATCCTCGTCCTCCTGGGGGCTGTCAAAGATGAGCTCGAAGAAAACCAGCTTCTCCGAGATGGTGCTGAAGGAGTTGTCAAAGCACAGTTTGTAGTCACCTGCTTCCGTGGGCTCAATGCTGGGGAAAGAGGTAAACACTGTGAGGATGAGTCAGTCCCGCACTCAAAGCTCACGAGGCCAAGGCAAACGAGCAGTAACTGTGACATGTCGCTCTGTTGGAAAACAAGTGTAACTGCAGAGTTATGCCACCAAGGGCAGTGAAACCACAGTGGCTGACGGAGACATGCTCCCGGGGCTGGGGGAGAATGGGGGACCTTGGACTGGGGGAAATGAAGTCCACAGAACCCCTGGTGGGGTGGATTGAGGAAATGGGATCACTGAAAACACCTGGCATGGGGGGGTGGGGGGAATGGGGACACAGGGAACCCACAGAACCCCTGGTAGGGGGAGACTGGGGAGACCCTGAAAGAGAGGAGGACAGCATGCAGGGAGTGTGAAGAGCGCAATGGGGAAAAGCCAGGAGCCCCTGGTGTGTGTGATGAGCTCAGCTTATACAGGCTAAGAGCTACGTGCTCCCCCCAACGACCAGGCTGGCAGGGGAGTTTGGAGATGCCTGGGTGCCGCAGGAGGCAGAGCCAGCAACACTCACGTGTGCACCCCGTCCGATTTCCGGTACTCGTTGATCAGCAGCACGCCCGTGGGGCTCTCCAGGGAGAAGTCGATGTCCAGGCCCGCACCACCGATAACCTGTAAGGCACAACCACAGGGGTGAGTGACAGGGTCACGCTGCAGGGGGGTGAACGGGCCCCAGCACAGCCTAGGGCCCACTCGCGGCTCAGATCCGGTGACTGGCTCGCTGCCTCTACCCTGGGCCCTGGCCCATCCCCACCATTGTGCTGACCCCCCACCCGAGACCCAGCCTGGTCCCCTGCTTCTTCACCTCCCCCACGCCGGCCCCCTGCAACCCCAGATCCTAGTCCCTAGCCTAGCCCAGCCCCATCCGACACCAGGCTGAAGCCTCTGTTCCCCCCCATTAACAGCAAGCCCACTCGGTCCCAGTTCCCCTCCTCTCACCCCCCCAGCTCACCCCACCCCCCAATTCCCTCAGATCCCAGCCCCCAAATGCCCCCTGCCCCCCTCCCCATTGACATACCTGCGTTCTCCTCCCCACAACCCACCATCCGCCCCCCCGGCCGGCCCCACCACCCGCCCCCCCCCGGCCCCACCATCCGTCCCCCTTTCCCCCCTCCCAGCCGGCCCCCCTATCCGGCCCCCCCCGGCCGGCCCCACCATCCGCCCCCCTTTCCCCCCTCCCAGCCGGCCCCCCTATCCGGCCCCCCCGGCCGGCCCCACCATTCGTTCCCCTTTTCCCCCTCCCAGCCGGCCCCCCTATCCGCCCCCCCCGGCCGGCCCCACCATCCGCCCCCCCCCCGGCCGGCCCCACCATTCGTTCCCCTTTCCCCCCTCCCAGCCGGCCCCCCTATCCGGCCCCCCCCCGGCCGGCCCCACCATCCGCCCCCCGTTCCCTCCCCCCCCGGCCGGCCCCCCCATCCGCCCCCCCGGCCGCACCTGGAACTCGGCCTCCATGGAGCCGTTGCCCGGCGCGGCCTGGTAGAAGCACTCGCGGCGCCCGGCCGGCAGCAGGAAGGTGAACTCGGCGTCCTGAGGCGGCGGCAGCGCGGCGCGCGAGCCGCCCCAGGGCGCCAGCAGCAGCAACCGCCACCACAGCGCGCGCCAGGCGGCCGCCATCATCCGGGGACCTGGGCGGGGCGGGGGGGGGGGTTGAGCCACGCCCTAGCGCTGAGCGCGCTGATTGGCCGCCCCGGCCTCTGGGGACGGTCGGGGCGCGGAGAGGGTGCTGGGAGGGCCCCGATGGGCCGCGGCGTGGGGCAGAGGTGGCGGCGCTGAAAGCCTGATCCGGGGGCAAACGGACGCAGCAGCCCCTACGCGGCAGAAGCCTGCCCGTGGGCAGGGGCCCCGCCGCCGACGCTAGGGAAAGCCGTGAGCGAACAAGCGCAGGCAGGTCTGTCAGGCACTTGTGTAGACACCTAAAGATGGCCAAGGCGGCCCTCGGGGGTCTTGGTGGCTCTGAAGGAGGGATTGGCCCAGGCGTGTCCCACCCTCTGCAGTATCGGATGAGCTCATTGGTCCAGCCAGCCTGACCATCATGCAGAATCAGAACAGTGCGTTGGCCGAGCTGGACCCAGAGTCCCCGCCTCCGCCAGTATCAAATCAGGCCATTGGTCCATCGAGCCCAGCGTCCCAGCCCATTTGCCCATTGGTCCATCTAGTTCCCAGCCCATCAGCCCATTGGTCCCGCTATAGCAGCGTCCCAGCCTGTCACCCATGGGTCCATCTCGTTTGGTCCCCCCTGCAGTGGGCAGTCTCTGATGATGCTACAGAGGGAGCCAAACTCCCATAATGCACCTGGCGAAGTGGTCAATGGCCAGGGCCAGGGCCAGGGCCAGGGCGGGATGGATGGATGGAGAGGGTGGGCAGGGAAGCAGAGGGGGCCCAGGCAGGACTGGGGGTGCGGCGGGGACCAGACCGATGGAGGGCGTCTGGCCTTTGACTGCCCCTTTGCAAGTGGGGCACATTCAGGGAGCAGAACTTGGGGTGTGTGTGGGGGGGGTATCTCCTCGGGGAAGCCCCCCTCACGCCCCCCTCCAGGAGGATGGGCTCAGACAGGAAGGGCGGCTTGGCTGGGCTTGTGGGTTAAGGCACTGGGCTGGGACCCAGGAGATTTCGGTTTCAGTACTCAGCTCTGCCACTCTCCCCTGTGTGAGTCACTTCATCAGAGAACGAGCCTTCCCTGCCTCACAGGGCTGCTGGGAAGATAAATGTTTTCATGGGGCTCAGAAGCCATAGGGAGTGGGGCCGGATAAGTGCCTGGCTAGGCACGGGGAGGAAGTGGTATGTTCCCCTCTCACCGTGCAACAGAATTGGAAGGAGGAGGCTGGGACAGAGCCATGACAGAGTCCATCTTGCGGCTGCAACGAACAAGAAGCAGCTGCCAGTATCCCAGGGACTCAGGTGAACTTTGAGTCACAATAATTTGGCGTCTCATGAGTGTGGCAGTGAGAGATCCTCCACAGAATAAGGCTGGCTGGAAACCACGATATGAACTCCTGTAGGCACAAGCAAGGCTGATGTCAGCCTAGTAGGGGGCTGTGATGGACACGTGCTCCACACACCGCTTGTGTGTACACACTCTGTCTACCCGTGCACAGACACCACTCACGCAAACAACACTTGAACGCACAAATTTATATGTGATGGCTACTATCTTGGCCAGCATACCAGAGACTGAACAGAGAACTTTGTGAGTTTCTACAAATTAAAGAGCCAAGCTCATGGTCTGAGAGCTCTAAGAGACACGCACTCTCTGGGTTGGGCGCAGAGGGAGAATTCATAACACGTGCACACACAAGACCACGTGCAGGTACAGATACATGTGCATCATTGCACCTCTGATATTCAGCGACTGCATTTCTACTTGTGCTTGTTCATTCTACTTGTCCCTACTGCTAACCTTCAACTGGGGCGTCTTTTCTACCAGCTAGTCATGAGGTTATTCATCATTTCCTGTCAAAGTGTTGTGCAAGCCGTGCTGTGTTCCACTTCAGTAATGGGGGAAATGATTTCTATATAACTTGGAAAGTATTTGGAGATTTAGAGAAATATAAATGGTTCTTAGCCTTGGCCTGAAAGCTGCAATCCATTGATGTACTGTAAGATCATAGGAAAATGCCACAAGATTTAGGGCCTGAGTTAGATCTTAGTTACGCTTGCTGTAAATCTGGAGTAACTCCACTGAGGTTACTCGGAATTTACACTTGTACAGCTGAGATCACTGGGCCCGACAGTAACTGTCGAAGTCAGTGAAATCACACCAGTATCAAATTGGTGTGAGAAGAGAATTGTGCCCAGAGCCTAGCATGTAACTTACACCATGGCTGAGGTGACCGGCGGTCTCAGTCCTTTGGCTTTTATGTGAGGCTTTAAATTCTATTTGCTGTAGGAAAAGGAAGAAAAGCCCTTTTATGTTCAGGGACATTCTGTAATTTCCTCCCGAGATGTTGAAATTCCATCTTGGGCAAAACTTCGTTCTCCTTTTCATTTACTTCTAGCTAGGAACTTTCCATGCATGTTGGGCTCCTACTGTCTATTTACCAAAGATCCAGGATGCTCTGCAGAAAGATGAGCCTGAGGATTCTCTTTCTCTTAGCTGGTATGTTTTCTTCCCCTCTATTTAAACTGTATTTGAAGCTTTCCCTCTGAGTGTTCCTCCAGGACGAGGGACCTGAAGAAGCTCATGCTGTATTGTATGTCTGAGGCCAGTTATAGATGGGAGGTGAGGGGAATAAGTGACCGTAGAAATTGCATAATGATTTGGTAACCGTAGGGCATGGGGGTGAGATGCTGGGCTTTATCTCCAGAAGGGATCTCAGCAGGAAAATGGAGGGAGCTGTCAATGCAGCAGGATCACGTTTATTTGACCCATTTGAGCCTTTGGGTCAAGTTTATCTCTGGCGTGAACTTTGGAGGGCTCTAGCCCCAGCCCAGACATCTACACTGCAATTGTTAGCCCTGCAGCCCAACCCCGGGCTCTGAGACTTAGCACCACAGGGGTTTTATTGCAGTGTAGATGTACCCTCTGAGGCCTCTTTTGGAGAGCTGTGGATCAACTCTTGGGTGTTTCCTGAAGCTCGCGCTGCTCTGCTTCCCTGTGTCCCCAGGGGCAGGACAGGGTGTGTTGGAGGCTCACTCCAACTAACTTTATTGTGCCTCCAGGGGCAGGCAGGGCAGAAGCTGGCATTGCCACAGCCCATGCTGTCCCCAGTGGGCAGGACAGGAGCCCGTCCTGTGGCGTGCAGGAAGCTGCCAGTACTATGCCAGTCTATGGGCACCTTGCATCATCATTTCGCTCCATCTTCCCCTGGCTCTTCCAGGCTCTTTGGCAGGTCCCAGCCTAACTCCCGCCCCACTTTTTTACCTGGACATGTCTTCCGACCCCCCTGCCCGAGGAGACTCCGCCAGGCTCGTGTGCATCGCGCCGAAAGCCTACGTGGACAGCGAGTTCTGGTTGCTGAAGACAGGTCTGGCTCAACCTGTACAGATGCTGTTTGCCTCGGAGGCCCAGCACCGCGTCACTTTCATCCTGGAGAACATCACCGGGAAGGACGCCGGGCAGTACCGATGCAAGTACCACAGCTACAACGGGAGTGCCAGGCAGATGTCAGAGTTCAGCAATGTGGTGGAGATCGCGGTGGCAGGTGAAGGGCTTTTAGATCCGAAGGAAACTGGCTGGGATGCCAAATTCCTGGCTGGGATGATTTAATTGGGTATGGGTCCTGCTTTTGAGCAGGGGGTTGGACTAGATGACCTCCTGAGATCCCTTCCAACCCTGATATTCTATGATTCTATGGCTGAACTGAGGAGAGAGCATGGGAGTGTGGGCAAGTGTAGTGCAGTTCTTTCCTCCCCGAGCTCTGCCGGCACCCCTCAGTCCTGAGCCACGGGCCCCGGCTAGCCCAGCCCTGGGCGCCCCCAACCTCCTTTGATGCCTCTCAGCCCTCTAGTGCTCTTCCAGTCCTAGTCCGCTGGGGCGAAAGGTTGGTGCACCAAGCCAGCTAGTCCAACTAAAAGTGGCTGGTGGAGGCTGAGCTGAAGAGTTTGTGTGACAGGTGCCTTCCTGGTGGTGAGAGCAGGGAGATGCTGTTGTGAAAGTTACTAAGGAGTGCTTGGGTGTTAGACTTCTGGGCTGTGATCCTGGTTCTGGGAGAGATTTTGGTCTAGCTAGAGCAGGAGGCTGAGACAGGACTCCTGAGTTTCCTTCCCAGAATTGGGTGGGAGTGGGGCCTCGTGGGTCAAACAGGAGGGCTGGGCGTCAGGACCTCTGTGTCCTGGCTGGAGGAGGGAGTAGGGTCTAGTCTTCAGAGCAGGGTGTGGGTTCCCAGGACTCCCGGGGCCTGATCTTGACTCTGCAAACCGGTGTGAATAAAACAACTTTTCAAACTGTCTCCTCCTTTCTTTTCCAATGAAAATATGTCAACATCCCCTCCCCCAGCAACTCCGACGGCCCCTCCCCCAGTTTCCATGGCTGCTCCAGAAGGTAAGGGCAAGGACAGAGGGAGGCAGGGAATCTGCCAGGGCTGGGAAATGAGACTAGAGCCCGGAGGAGGAGGGGGCGGGGCGAGAACCATGGGGAAGGCCATGGCTGTGGTGGAGATTGGGGGGGTGCTCACCCTGTTTCAAAACTGCCCAGTTGCAGGTACAGTCTGGTGCTCGGAGTGGGGAGGGCTGTGTGGGGTCCCTTTGATATCTGAATAGGGCCAGGTAACGCCAGCTGCTTTCTCTGCATTGCCCAGGTTCCCCGTGGCTGCTCCCTGTGTCCCTCAGCGTGGCTGGAGCTTTGCTTCTGACCGTGGGCCTAGTGGTAGCAGTCGTGGCAGTCAGGCGAGGTACGAGGAATGCAGAAACTGGATCCTGGGCTGCCTGTGATGAGCTGTAGAGGCCACCTATAGCTCGGCTGGTGTGGCAGGGTGTTGTTATACCGCAGGGGACTGGGACTCAGGACTCCTGGGTCTGATCCTGACTCTGCCACTGGGTGTGTCCTGGCCAAGTCATTGATGACAGTAATATTCCAAAGGGTCCACTAGCCAACTAGACCCCCCTAGCCTGATATACAGAATTGTTGAGAACCCATAACTCCCATTGATCTCAACTGGAGACGTGGGAGCTGAGCAGCTCTCTCTCTCTCTCTTTATCTAATTTATCTATCTATCTATCTCTCCCCATACGCCCATCCATCTATCTATCTATCTATCTCCATACACCCCCTCCATCTATCTATCGATCCCCATACACCCTGTGACGTTGCACTCCATATGATTTTATGAAAATATGCTAATAAGTGTGAATATAATGTAACTGGAATATGCTTCATGCAAAAGGTCTCTTGTAAGGTATCATTACAAAGCTTATAATCCACTGAGTGTAGTCATCCTATTTGTATGTACGTATCATTCTTAGTATCTGAAACTAGCAATATGAAATATAACTCTGAGGTCCTATTGTAATTATGCAAAGATTGGGCCATTAATGGTGGTTTGGAATCTTGATGGCTCCCATTAACCAGGACAACTGACTGTAGATGGCTCTGTTTACTTGCAAGCCTTCCTGTGAGTCAGGCCTGGAAGAATGAAGGCTTGAGGGGTCTCACAGGACATGTGACCATGTCCCCTGGTACTGGAATCCATCTTAAACCTGGTGCTTTTCCATTTAGAAGAAGGGGTGGGGACCCAGAGAGACAAAAGAGTCCCACCTTGTGCCAAAGCTATAAAAGGGGGTGGAGCAGAACAAAGGGGGCTACAGTCATGAGAAATCCCCTAGTTACCACCTGAGCTGGAACAAGGACTGTACCAGGGGAAAGGATTTGGCCCAGTCTGTGGAAGAAGGTTATTGGAACATCGCCAAGGGCGAGATTTCATCTGTATTCAGTTTCCTATTGTATTAGGCTTAGACTTGCATGTTTTGTTTTATTTTGCTTGTAATTTACTTTGTTTTGTCTGTTATTACTTGGAGCCACTTACCTCCTACTTTTTATATTTAATAAAATTACTTTTTGCTTATTAATTGACCCAGAGTAAGTAAGTAATTCCTGGGGAAGCAAACAGCTGTGCATATCTCTCTATCAGTGTTATAGAGGGCGGACGATGAATGAGTTTACCCTGTATAAGCTTTATACAGAGTAAAACGGATTGACTTGCGGTTTGGATCCCATTGGGGACTGGGTATCTGGGTGCTGGAGACAGGAACATTTCTTAAACTGTTTTCAGTTAAGCCTGCAACTTGTGGGGGACGTGCTTCAGACCTGGGTCTGTGTTTGCAGCAGGCGAGTGTGTCTGGCTCAACGAGGCAGGGTACTGAAGTCCCAAGCTGCCAGGGAAAATGGGCTCAGAGGTAGTCTAGGCACATCAGGTGGCTGTCCCAGGGGGGTTTCTGTGACCCAACCCGTCATACACCCATCTATCTATCTATCTATCTATCTATCTATCTATCTATCTATCTATCTATCTATCTATCTATCTATCTATCATCTTACCCCCAGCATTGCTTTTATGACACCATAACATCTGTTTCCTTTTTACCAGTTAACGTCAGAAGACAACAGCTGAAAAGGTGAGAGACGCTCAGGAAATCTAATGTCACTTAGGGACAGTGACTCACATGGCCTAAGGTGAAACTCTCCCCACTTTCAAAAATCACTTAGGAGCATAATTCTCATTGACTTTCAATGGGATTTAGGTGTCAAAGTGCCCATATCCCTTTTGAAAATTAGACTTGGGGTCCTAAGTCATTTGGATGCTTTTGAAAATGTCTCCTGGGGCTGGAGCAGGGCAAAGTGTCCTCGTTAGTTATGGATCTCACTGTGTCTGTTTTACAGGGATCGGGAATCGTGCTGGACAGAAACGAACTTTCCCACAACAGGTCTGTGTTAGAGTCAAATACCAAGTGCTTGTGAGGTCAGAGTGACCCTGACACAGCCTTGACAGCTGCCAGGAGGAGGCTGTGGGTGACGTTTTCAAAGCAGTGTGTACGGAGGCAGAAGGACCGGGGGCCAGGACTCCTGGGTTCCACTCATGGCTCTGCGAAGGCTTGTGGTCTGCTGGTTCAGTCAATGCATAGGCTCCTGGGTTCACTAACTTGCAAATGAAGTAAGTCAACCTCTCCAGGCCTAAGCATCATTTCCTGGCAGTTTCTGTCCTGTCGGGTGGCATTGCTGTGCACTGTGAAATAGTTGTCATTTTCCACCCCAGAGGCAGTTGACATCAGCAATCGGCAAAGCGATCCCTTTGGGGTGAGAGGGCTGCAGGTATGCAAGACCTGGCCCCAGTAACCTCACTCCTCTCTCCTTTTGCAGACATGTCGTTCGATAACTGTCTGTTCACCGTCTCAGCGGTAAGTCGTCGACCGAGGGCTTTGCAGAGGGGGTGTGAGCTGCCATGGGGGACATGGGCTGTTCTCAAGCTGAGCTCGGCTGCTGGGTCCATGGGCGAGTATTTCCCGGGGCAGCCCCCTAGTCAGGGGCTGAGCTTGCATTGCAATGGCATGATGCAGCCATCTCACCCCAGAGGGTGCAGTTTGCAAAGGGTTAATGGTTACTCCCCCACCCCACCTCCAAGCTGAGCCCCCCCATAGATCCTTACTTTACCCTCTCTTCCTGTCTTTCCCCCCACCTTCCATTTGGCAAGAAAATGGACCTGGAAGCCACAGGCAGCCAAGATGCCTGCATCTCCCCAGGCTCCAGAAAAAGACTCAGCTCAGCTTCCTCTCTGGGAACCAACAGCTTCAGCACATTCAAGTCCTTGCAATGATGGCCCGGGTTGAGGCCGGCCCCAGATGCTCCAGCTAGTGACCCTGGCCCCAGGCCCGGCCCTGCCCTTAGTTCTTCCTTGGGCTCAGTGTCTCCCCCAGAACGAAGCATCTGCCAGAGGGGCCGTAACTGGGGTGTGATTATACGTCTTCTTCACTGGGAGGAGAATGAGCTTCAGTTAAGCCTTGTGGCCCGCTGTGTGCCTCCAGGGCCACGTGACATGGGCACCATGAAAGGACACCCAGAATATAGTCTACCTCCCTCATCGTGAGCAGCATCACCGGCTCAGCCCTGGCAGCTGCATCGATCCCTGGGGCTGATGCTAGAAGCAGGAAGAGCCCAGCTAGGGTTGCATGTGGTGGGAGCAGGATTTGTGTGGCTGGCAGTGGATTCTTCCATTGTATCCAGAATGACATTCACACCAGCCAGCCACCCCTTTCTACCCCTCCACAATCCCCTTCCTCCAAGCAGCGTTTCCCCAGGATGACCCGAGATGGGGGGAGAGCCAAAGACTCCATAAAGCCCACTGCCATGAAGGCTGTCGGCAGGCTATTGTACACGGAAGGTGCTCCTGGATTGTGGTGATGAGCAGCAGCTCTAAACCTGAGATGGACAGAGGATGCAGATAGGGATGGATGGATAGATAGAGGAGTGTGTCTGTGGATGGATGGCTGGGGATGGACAGGTGTGGCTGGGGATGGACATATGGGGACGGATAGATGGGTGCATGGGAGTGGGGATGGATGGATGGATATGCGGCTGTGTCTGGGGATGGACAGTTGGATTTGCACACCAAACACATTTAATCTGGAATCACCGAGAGAGAATGAGCGTGGAAGCCCCAAAGGAACTGCTTTCCCACCTAACTGCCCCCAACTCTAACTCCCTCTTCTTTTGCCTGTGACTTTCACCGAGGGGGCCGTTCAGAATGTTTATATGTTTGCTTTTTGTTTCTGTAGGAAGTGAGTGTGGTCTAGCAATTAGAGCAGAGAGCCAGGACTCCTGGGTTCTATCCTCAGCTTGCGATGTGACCTTAGGAAAGTCTCTTCTCCTCTCTGTGACTCAGTTTCCCTATCTGTAAAAGGGATGATAATTCCCCCCCTTGAGGATTGTTTCCCAGGCTCTTTGAAGATATTAAGCCCGGAGTATTACAGTGGTTCCAGCTGCCACTGGAAACTGTAAGGTCATTTTCTGATTCAATAAAGATGTAAATTTGTTGTTGGGAGAGGTGTGAACTGTTCTGGAGAATTCTCTGTCTCCTTGTTGATGAGCCGGAGAATGTGTCTTGTCACTACTGTCCTCTCCTGGACGGAATCAGAGCTGTTTGGTTGGGTGTCACAAGCCCTATACTGCTAACAACAAATGGTGATCCTCTTTTCACTCCGGGAGGATGAGAGGATGCACTGGGGACAGAAGGAACTGGGTTTTACACTGTCTGTCGCACTACACAGCGTGGCAAGGGCTGCGAAGAGTCGTGCTGCAGAGCCCAAGCTTTAGTTCTTTAAAATCAAATCGCTCTCGCCCTTCACAGTGTGAGCCGCAGCAATGCTGTGTACCTGAGTCTGCAGGCAGCCTGAACCCTACCTCTGAGAGCAGTGAACTGGCGTGTTCACAGACACATAGAAACGGGGGGGCTGCCAGGGACATCGAGAGGTTGCCTAGTCCAGCCCCCGGCGCTGGGGCAGGACCAAGTAAACATAGACCAGCCCCGACAGGGGTTTGTCCAACCTGTCCTTAAAACCCCACCAATGAGGGGGATTCCCCAGCCTCCCTTGGCAGCCTGCTCCAGAGTTTCACTCCCCTGGGCATTAGAAGGGTTTTCCTGGCCTCGAACCTGGATCTCCCGTGCTGCAGATTAAGCCGATTCCTTCTGGCCCTCCCCTCCGGGGGCCACGGAGAACAGCCGATCCCTGTTCTCCCGACACTAGCTTTGGATACCTGGGCAGGCTCATCATGCTTATGGCTGTTGACTCTGGAGCCTAATGACCATGGCTGGATGTCTGCACCTTTGACTCTCATGCTGCTGATGGCCTGTGCTCCCCAGGTGCTGCCCCCGGCCCGGCCCCCGGCCCGGCCCCCTCCCCGGCCCCTGGAGCTCTGCTGACATCATCCGCGGTGGGGTGGGGAGCGGGTGTCCTGCCCCATGTGGCCAGGCCAGGATTGGCAGCGAGTAGGTGCCTGGTGCCCACTGCTGGAAGGGGGTGCTGTGGGCGTGGCCGGTGAGGTGCTGTGGGCGGGGCCGGGTGGGGAGCGGGGCCGGTAGGGGGCCCTGGGGGCGGGGCCGGTAGGGGGCCCTGGGGGCGGGGCCGGGCGGCGAGCGGAGGGCGCGGCCCGCAGGGGGTGCCGGGGGCGGGGCCTAGCGGGGGGCGGGGCCCGTAGAGGGCGCTGGGGGCGGGGCCCGCTGGGGGCGCCGGGGGAGGGGCCGAGCGGGGGGCGGGGCCCGCTGGGGGCGCCGGGGGAGGGGCCGAGCGGGGGGCGGGGCCCGCAGGGGGCGCCGGGGGCGGGGCCGAGCGGGGGGCGGGGCCCGTAGAGGGCGCCGGGGGCGGGGCCGAGCGGGGGCGGGGCCCATCGGGGGCGGGGCCCGCAGGGGGCGCCGGGGGCGGGGCCGAGCGGGGGCGGGGCCCGCAGAGGGCGCCGGGGGCGGGGCCGAGCAGGGGCGGGGCCCGCAGAGGGCGCCGGGGGCGGGGCCGAGCGGGGGCGGGGCTCGCAGAGGGCGCCGGGGGCGGGGCCGAGCGGGGGCGGGGCTCGCAGAGGGCGCCGGGGGCGGGGCCGAGCAGGGGCGGGGCCCGCAGAGGGCGCCGGGGGCGGGGCCGAGCGGGGGCGGGGCCCGCAGAGGGCGCCGGGGGCGGGGCCGAGCGGGGGCGGGGCCCGCGGGGGGCGCCGGGGGCGGGGCCGGGCGCGGGGAGGCGGCGGCGGAGCCAAGATGGCCGCGGCGGTGTCCGTGTTCCCCGGCGTGCGGCTCCTCACCATCGGGGACGCCAACGGCGAGATCCAGCGGCACCAGGAGCAGCAGGCGCTGCGGCTCGAGGCGCGCACGGGGCCCGACAGCGCCGGCCTGGCGCTCTACAGCCGTGAGTGGGGCGGGCTGCGGGGGCGGCCGGGCACGAGCCTGGGGGTACGTGGGGCGGGGGGGGGCTGTAGGTAGGGGGTGGGGCACGGGGAATGGGGGGGTGTCGGGGTAGGAGGCTGGGGGTAACTAGGACTGGGGGGGTGTATGTCGGGATGGGGGCTGGGGGAATAGGGGGTGTCTGGGGGTTGGGGTAGGAGGCTGGGGGTAACTAGGACTGGGGGGGTGTATGTCGGGCTGGGGGAATAGGGGGTGTCTGGGGGTTGGGGTAGGAGGCTGGGGGTAACTAGGACTGGGGGGGGATGTATGTCGGGCTGGGGGAATAGGGGGTGTCTGGGGGTTGGGGTAGGAGGCTGGGGGTAACTAGGACTGGGGGGTGTATGTCGGGATGGGGGCTGGGGGAATAGGGGTGTCTGAGGGTTGGGGTAGGAGCCTGGGGGTAACTAGGACTGGGGGGGGTGTATGTCAGGATGGGGGCGGGGGCTGGGGGAATAGGGGGTGTCTGGGGGTTGGGGTAGGAGCCTGGGGGTAACTAGGACTGGGGGGGTGTATGTCGGGCTGGGGGAATAGGGGGTGTCTGAGGGTTGGGGTAGGAGCCTGGGGGTAACTAGGACTGGGGGGGTGTATGTCGGGATGGGGGCTGGGGGAATAGGGGTGTCTGAGGGTTGGGGTAGGAGCCTGGGGGTAACTAGGACTGGAGGGGTGTATGTCGGGCTGGGGGAATAGGGGGTGTCTGGGGGTTGGGGTAGGAGGCTGGGGGTAACTAGGACTGGGGGGGTGTATGTTGGGATGGGGGCTGGGGGAATAGGGGGTGTCTGAGGGTTGGGGTAGGAGCCTGGGGGTAACTAGGACTGGGGAGTGTATGTCGGGATGGGGGCTGGGGGAATAGGGGATGTCTGAGGGTTGGGGTAGGAGGCTGGGGGTAACTAGGACTGGGGGGGTGTATGTCGGGCTGGGGGAATAGGGGGTGTCTGGGGGTTGGGGTAGGAGGCTGGGGGTAACTAGGACTGGGGGGGTGTATGTTGGGATGGGGGCTGGGGGAATAGGGGGTGTCTGAGGGTTGGGGTAGGAGCCTGGGGGTAACTAGGACTGGGGAGTGTATGTCAGGATGGGGGCTGGGGGAATAGGGGGTGTCTGGGGGTTTGGGGGCAGCTGGGAGTGCGACATACGTTTGGGTCAGGAGGCGCCTGGGGCACGGAAGAGGCCTGGCCTGTGTTAAGGGGCTTGCGGCCCCGTGTAGCCCTTCGGCTCCTGAGCTGGCTGCGTCTCCCCCTCCAGCAGTGGGGCCGCAGCAGCCCCCTGGTGGCTCAGGGGCCACGAGTCTCCTCTTCTAGCCGTGCTCGCGGTAAAGGTCGCCATGTGTCAGCCTCTGGTAGCGCCAGTGCCTTCTGTCACCTGGGTCTTTGCTCTTGCTTAGGCGGGCGGGTCCCTCCGTAGGGTTCATGGGGGCCCTTTACTGGTGTGCCAAGCTCGATAATTGTCACCAAAGTGCAGGCAAGGGCAGATTCCCTGGCAGGAAGCAGCTTGAAGTCACTGAGTGTTTGCCCGGGAGGGGCCCTTACCCTGTGGCTGGGCTTTAATCCCTTGTTTCAGTTCGGATCTTGCAATATTTAGTCTTGTCTTCCTTGTTTTTGTTTGGGGAGGGGAGGAATTGGAGGCGGCGGGTGCAGGGTGCAAAGTCTCTGGGACAGGTCTGTGGAGGGGCATGTGTCTGGAAGCTGGGCAGGAGCAGAGATTGCTGGGTGGTGCTATGTCTCGGGTGAGGCTGTGTTCCGTTTCTATGGGTGCCTAACCCCAGGTTGTTTCCACTGGGCAGGAAAAGCCTCTGCCAGACCTTGGGGTGGATGCTCGAGGCCACTGGAGGCAGCATCCCTGTGCCATGCTGCATTTCCTAGAGAAGTCACCCCAGTGGTTAGCGTGGCATTCCTGAGGGGTGGCTAGCAGCTCCTTTCCCTTGGGTGGAGTGACCGTCAAGAAAACTTTCTTGCCATTTGATGTGGGTAGTTTGGTTTTGTGGAAGGCCGTTAGTGTCTGCTCTCCCTCCTGGAGCTGCTGTACCAAGGGAGGGGGCATGGACTGCAGTGTTACCGCCATGTGGCCTAGCATCTTGAATCACTATCATGGTAGGAGCCGCAGTTGAATTTCCTTCACCCCCAGAAGCAGCGTCGCTGGGGTTAAAAGCAGTTGCTCCAGGGGTGTTCCTGGATGAAGTTAGCTGCCCACCTTGAGGGCGGTCTGGCCCGGAGTGTCACCTTGCTCTGCAGAAGATGCACTCCCTGCAGAGTTGGGGAAGGAGTGCATATCCCTCCCTAGTCCCACCTTCTCTGATCATCTCCGCTGAGGGCTTTGGAGACCACAAGGGCCAGGCTGCCTCTGGAAGAGGAGCTGTCAGGGCTGGGGGAATGCTGGCTGCTGTTCAATTGTTCATTACAGTCTCGTGCTGTTCTTGGAGTTTTGGGCCATGCTGCCGGGCCAGCTCTTCCTTCTGGGGTCCCTCGCTCGCTTTCCTCCCCGCAGCAATCTTCTGAGCACTGTGATCAGTTAACACTGCCTGTCGTGGGTAGGAGTGCACAGACTGGTTGTAGCTGGGGGTACCCAGGGCCCAGCGCCTCTCTCTGTTTCCCACCTTCAGTATGCCTCACCTTGGCATTCCCATCCCCAAAATTAGGGGTTGGTTTATGTGGCACAAAGCAGATCCAACACTGGTAGTATAAGAACCTTCTTTCCTGAGCGAGATCCCACGCGCTTTAATCTTTATAGCAGGGTTAGTTTATACAGCGAGACCAGATTCATCAGCCGTGCAGATTATATTAATTAGATAATAATGTAAACTTTCAAGTGAAAACCTTCCCTGTGTACTGCTTGCTGCCTCAGCCAGAGGACTGGATAGTGACAGAGGTAATGGGGTCTAATGGCTCGGCCACTGGCATGGGGTTCAGGCCTTAGTTCTGTTCATGACTCTGATCTTGGGCGAATCACTTCACCTTTCAGTGTCTTTTTTTGCCTGCTTCCCTCTCAGTCCCTGTCCTGAAGAGCTCAGAAACAACCACCCTCTTGTGCCTGAGCAGCCACTGGCATGTTGGGGCCTAGATCTCAGTTGAAGCCTCAACATGCTACTGTAATATAAATAAGTGA